GGGGGGGGAAGGAGAGAGGGGAAGAGCACAGCACCAGCCCCACCCCAGAGGAGCAGGCAGGAGCATTAACTCAAGCCCAGAGGCCTGGCCTCGTGTCTGGCAGGAGCGGAGGCTGCTCACGCCTGCAGCTGCCAGGCCCAGGCAGGGTGTGCACCAGGGCCCGAGGAGGGGGACGGAACAGAGCCCAGCCTCCCTCCTGCCCCTGCACTCACCAGCCATCGGCCCAGGCGGAGGCGCCGCTCAGCCTGCACCGGTCACCAGCAACTCGGAGTAAGGGAAAGTGAAAGTGATGCCTGGTCCCCTCCTCTTCCTGCCGTTCCCAAAGCCAGCGCTGGTGCAAGGGGAGCGGGGCCCCGCACACGGGCAGGGCGGGCATGGCCAGGAGTCAGGGCTCCCGACACAGCCCGGGGCCCAGCCCCACTCTGAGCCCAGCGCCTTCAGCCAGAGGTGGCTGGTTGAGGGGGCTTTGCTCCTCCAAGGCGCAGGGCTCTCCCCAGCCCTGGCCCAAGTGACAGTGCACCCTGGGGAGCCCCCCCGGCCTGGCTCCCTGCCCATGGGCTCAGAGGGGACAAGGGGGGCCACGGGGCATACCTCTCTGTGGAGCAAAGCTGCTTTTAAAGAGACAGGAGAGGGAAGGGTCCCAGGCTCACCCCTCCCCCATTCCTAGCCCCCATGCACCTTCTGGCTCCCACCTCCTCTTCCCAGCTGTCTGCTTTCATGGGGTGCAGCCCTCGCCCTAGGGAGGCTGGTGAGCTGGGCTAGCTGGAGAACAGCGTGGCAGCTGAGGCCTGGCACCCATGGGGGATTTCTGAGCCAGGCCCGATCAGCATCCAGGCCCAGGGCAGGGAGCTGGGCTGTGTGGAGTGTGCAGCAAAGGCACAATTCTCCGTGATAATCACCCCTTCCTTTCACAGCAATGAGCACCGGGAACAGAGGGCCCAGGGAATAAATGACACCTGCCAACCCCTGTGATTTTACTGCAAGTCTCATGATATTTGGTGTTTTCCTTAAGTCCCAACTTCTGGAGTCCCCTCAACGCATCAACATCCTGGCTGCCCGCGCAACAAACTGCGTTTCTAGCCCTGCTGGGTGCAGAAAACAGCTGTTCGCTGGGACCCTGGAGCACCCGGGCGGGCAGTGAATGGAACTCCAGCTGGGCCAGTCTGAGGGGTTTGGGGTCACTCCCAGCTGGGGACAGCAACAGTGAAATGAGCATTGCTGCAGATGCAAGACCCTGGCTCTGCCGAGGCACCAGGAAACCCAGCGTCATTACTAGGCGGCTACTGCCACCTGCTGGTTGGCCGGGGGAGGTCAGGCTTGGCGAGTTGCCAAAGAAGAAAACAAAGCTTGGGGCTCCTTTAGGAGGAGTCTTGCCACACGGCCGGTGGCAGGTTTCCTGTCATTCTCAGTCTCACTGATTGGGCCCTGGTTACTCGTCTGCTTTGCCATCTCCTTCCTGCCCCAGGCTGGAGCACAGCACACTCTTGCCTGAGCAGTCTCTGCTTCCCACCACCTATAAGGTCCTCCCTAACTCCCTCTTGGGGCACTGAAAGGAAGGAGGTCCTATAGCCATGGAAAACCCGTCCCCCCTTCAGTCACTGTAGGCCCTGCCTCCACTGAGGGACTTTGCTGGCACAGCTGCTGTGCCACCGCCATGCCGCTCTAGTCCCCATAGCGGAGACATGGCTTTATCTCACCCTTTCAGGCAGGTTTTACAGACTTCAAATCATTCCTATGGCTCTTCTATGACCTTTTCTGAAGTGTGGACACCACAGCTGGTCTCACCAATGCCCCATACAAGGCTAATACCACCTCGCTGCTCCAATTCAGGATTCCCCTTGTACCTCCAAGGATCACATTAGCCCTCTTAGCCACAGTATCACACTGGGAGCACACGTTCCTTAAGGGCCACTTCTCCTTTCCTGCTGCTCGGAGACCCCCTTGCAATCCCCTTTCCACTTAGCTCAGGGGGTTGCATGAAGCCCCTGTGACTGGATGGCCTGACACTGCTGCTCCCCGGAAATTAAAGCTCTTTCACTCCCATAAGCATGGGGCAATAACTAGCAGCAGAGAAGGAAAAGGCAACTGGACCTCCAGGAGACCAGCAAGCACTGCTGCACTGGCCCCAGGCATTCACTGACACCAAGGGCTGCTTCTAGCTTCTACTGCTGAGGGAGAAACCTTCCCCTCCTATTGTGCCTGTCTACAGCCTGGGGCTGAGAACGGAGTCTGGAGCGGTTTGGATTGGGACAGACAGGGACCCCCAGGGAGCTGGGCACGCCCTAGGGGAGTCTGGCCGGAAAGGAATGGTCAGGCTGTGCTTCTGCCCTGGAGGATGCACACTGGACTGTTAACATTGATCTTCAATAACCCCTGGAGCCCCGGGGAAGTGCCAGAAGATGGGAAGAAAGCTAATGTTGGGCTAATATTCAAAAAGGGTAAACAGAATGACCCGGGTAATTATAGACCCATCAGCCTGACATCAATCCCAGGCAAGAAAATGGAATGGCTGCTGTGGGACTCGACTAATAAAGAATTAAAGGAGGGTAATGTAATCAATGCTAATCAACAGGGGCTTATGGAAAACTGGGTATCTAGTTTGATGAGATTACAAATTTGGGTGATCAAGGTGACGTGTTGATGCAATAGACGTCTATAAGGCGTTTGACGTGGTACCACCTGACATTTTGATTAATAAACTAGAACAATATAAAATTGACGTGGCACACATTAAATGGATTAAAAGCTGGCTAACCGATGGGTTTAAAATGTAACTACATGAAGAATCATCATTAAGCAAGTGTTTCTAGTGGGGTCCTGTAGGAATCGGTTCTTGGCCCTATGCAATTTAACATTTTTGTCAGTGATCTGGAAGAAAACATAAAAACCTCATGATAAACGTTACAGATGACACAAAGACTGGGGAGTGGTAAATAACTAGAGCCCTGCACGGATACAAAATTTGTATCTGCATCTGATCTTCAATCTGCAAAAATGATTCGCGGATGCAGATATCTGGATATAGAGCAGATATCGGCAGATTTACACAGAGTTCTATAAATATCGAAGAGGACAAGTCACTGACAGAGCGATCTGGATTGCTTAGTAAATCGTGCAACATAGAACAAAGAATTCAATAGAACTTGGGATCCTTTGTGGATCTGGGCCGAATAACCTAGCAGACAAAGGTATAATACGATCCAATGGCTGGAGGCTGAAGGTAGAGAAATTCAGACTGGAGATAAGCTGCACATTTCAAACAGGGAGGGTAATTAACCATTGGAACAATTTACCAAAGGAATTTAAAAATCAATATTGGGTGTTTTTCTAAAAGATCTGCAGTATTCAACCAGGAATTATTTCAGGGAAGTTCTCTGGCCAGCAGTATGCAGGTCAGACTAAATGTTAAAATAGTCCCTTCTGGTTTAGAATCTATAATCTATCCTAAGGAGGCATTTGCTGCTCCTGCGGTGAGCAAGTTCTACTCCAGCAACTTGGAACCAAAGAATCAATAGTTCTGGAGCCTGGAAAATAGCAAGGTCAGTGCACCCCTCATTCCAGGCTGTGCTCACCCCAGTCGAACCCCAGAAGGAGACTGCATCCAGGAGCACAAGGAATAGGAACACAGGAATTGCCAGACTGGTCCATTTAGCCCGTACCCTGCGTTGGACAGTGGCCATCATCAGATGCTTCCAGGAACCCCAGAGTAGCATCTCTGGGATAATCTGTCCCTGTAAATATCTTATCCTAATCCCTAATGATCAGTTACACCTTGAAGCAGGAGGGTTTAATCTCCCTTCCAAAACTCTTCTTTTAACATTAATTGTTGAGCCTGGAAGTTCTTGTTATCCAGATAAATGCCCAGTCTCTATCTGAGTCTGGATAAACTCAGGGCCTTAATGATGTCCAGTGGCAGTGAGTTTCACAGTTGTATGTGTTGGGTGAAACAGTACTGCATTTCCTTTGATCTGATCTGAATTTCCTGACTTTTAATTTCATTGATGTCCCCTGGTTCTTATGTTGTGAGGCAAGGAGAATCTCTGGACTCTCATTCTGCTAAGGCTGAGAGGAGACCATGCTGCCCAATTCACTGCTGCCCCACTCCCCTTGTCTTGCCTCTGGGAGAAGGCCTGTAGGTGTAGATGCCTCCGTGCTGATTTGGCTTTATTTTAAATACTGTACAGAGTCCCAGGAAGTTATACAGAAAGGCAGTGCAAGAGTAGGCAGCGCTCTGGTTCCAGCCTCTGGTGGAGGATGGGAACCTCCAGCAAGGTTGGGGTTGCACGCTGGAATCTGGACAGATTGGACTCTGATCGCCCACCCTAGAGCTCAGAGTCCCTGAGAAACGGCCCAGTGAAGGGTCTGTGTGTGCTTGGAGGCAGCTGGGGAAGGGGGCTGGGAATGGGAACAGCCTTAAGACCTCAAAGAAAGGATTCAAGTAAGAGGGAAGAACAGGGCCAGGGAGCCCATGGGCCACTGCCCCAACACGTTGGGGATGCACATGGAAGGGCATGATGGCCTAGGGGGAGCCTCAACTACAGATCTGCCCTGGCCCGCTGGAACAAGCACTGAGGCCAAATCATCTCCAGCTGCATGGGGTGGAGAGAGATCCTGGCCCTGGCAGTGCAGCCCTGCCTCACTCTCTGCTCTAGCCTGCCACACAGATGCATGGGTCAGGTGCTGAGCCTTCCATCCCAGAGGCCCTGCTTGTGGACAGGGGCCACACCTCAGCAGTGATCTGTCCCCAAGAGGATCCCCATGTCCTTCATGTGGTGATCCAGGAGTAGGCAGTCCCGGGAATCACGCTCTCTCGGCCTGCACAGGAAGGAGCTCTATGGCAGCAGCAGGAAGTTGCAGATGGCTGTGATGAAGTCTTGGGACTTATCTGCATGGACCCAGTGGCCAGCACCTGGGATATACTGGATCTCTGCCTCGGGAAAGAGCCGCTCGATCTCTGGGTAGTCCTCGGAGCTTCAGAGGGAAAGAACGTACAGGAGAGCTGGGGCATGGGGCTTACGCTTGGATCCCCAACACGATCAGCCCAGGGCTCACACTGGGATCACACCCCCCCCTCCAGCTCAGGGAGCCCAGGGCTCACTCCACCCCTCAGTACATGTGGCAGCAGAGTGAGAGGGAACAAGCTGTGGGTCTCAGAGCCACAAGAGTCCCAGGACTCACCTGACATAGGGCGAGTCAGATCCTGCTAGAAAGAGCGTGGGTCCTGGGTAAGGGGCATGGAACACAGGGAAGCCCACGATATTGGCCATATGGTGGGAAATGGCCTCCAGGTTCACCCGCCACATGTAACGGCCCTCGGCCTCCACCAGGTTGGTGAGCAGGAACTGCCTTACCGCCGACACCTGCAGCAAGGGTAAAGCAT